GAGCCCCACACAGAGGCTGCTTCTGCCACTTCTGGTAGATGGGCCGTAAGTTCCCCCCCGCCCCAGTTTAGGAAATATCTGCTGTACTAAAGTAATCCAGGACTTATACTCAAGGGGAAAGCCCATATTGCAGTCTCCTGCTTCCACTAGGTAGAATGTTTAGAAAGTGTTTCTGACTATTACATTATTAAATCATCTAAATTGTGCTATTTGTTATACTGATTAGCTGGATCTAGGACAGAAGGCACTCAAATGTGCTTTTAAACTCAACTGAGTTTGCTAGTAATTAATACAAAGCACTTACAGCACTTCACAGACATTGTTTTTCTTTGTGCAATTGAGTTTGCTAATGTCTGCCCTTCACCATGTGTTAAAGCAGGAGTGGCCAACCTGTGGTACAAGTGGCATGGGCATCTTGTGTAGCATGTACAGATCAGGGAGGGGACAGGGAGCCCAGCAGCAGATAGGACAGGAAGCAGAAAACAGAGCAGGAGATGAGGCAGGGGGAACAGGGCAGAAAGAGATGCAGATCAGGCAGAAGGAGGGGATTGAACTGGCACTGAAGGAGGGTACCGGGCTAATTTGTGGTCCATTTGCTAAAAAGGTTGCTCCTTCCTCCCCTTTTAGAACATTACGCACATCTATAGGACTTTTTGATTCAAAGATCTTTCTTCTGTGTTGATACCAATTCAACTTCACAACATTCCCTGTGTAACTGGTAAAGATTATCCCCCTTTTAGAGATGGTGAAACTGAGGCCCAAGGAGATTAAATCACTCTGCTCACACAGCAACTCCTTGGTTCAACGTACATTAGTAAATGTGTTTATGGTGTACTCATAAGAAACTCCATTAAGCTCAGTAAGATTTCTCTTACATATCAAGTTAAGTGCAAAGGTTTGTAGGAAACATTTGGACACATTCTGTGCTCGTGGAGCCCCACTGAAGCCAGTGTGGGTGCCAGGGCCTGCTCAGACTGATCCAATTGCAGGCTTGGGGTTTGTGTAGCAAAGCTGGGAAACTGCCAGATCTCCTGACCCCTAGCATTGTGCTCTATCCACTGCCCCATGTTTCTTTTGATGACACCACACATGCTATTTTAAGCAGGGATGGCTTAAAATATTTTATATCTTCCTGTGGCAATACATTGATTGTTCAGTACATGGAACTGATTAAAAAGTGCCACTGACTTGTTTCTCTGAGTTGTTTTTTTTTAACTGGGCTTCTAACAGCTTTTGCTTTTATTCAAAGCCCTGGAAATAGTTTACTTCTGGTCTCAGTACCCTCCTATGTAAAGATCTGCCAACAAGATTTCATGAATCACAGGATGATTTTGCATAAGATTAATGTTTTCAGTTCCAGTAACTTGGCTTGACAAAGGTGCGTAAGGTGATTAAATCAAGTAAAAAAAAAAAAAAAAAAAAAAAAAAAAAAAAAAAAAAAAAAAAAAAAAAAAAAAAAAAAAACTAGCCTAGGATTTACTTTTACCAGATCAAGCCATTGGTCCATCAAGCCAATATGCATTTCTGAGAACAGTCAGTAATAGACTAGGAAAAACTGGCCAGCTGAAGAGGTGGTTTTCATCTTAAAGCTGAGTAAAACTATGCTGGAAAAATTAGAGATACTTTAATGTGAACCCATCAGATAAACAGAAGAGGTGGTACTTAAAGGAGCTGTAACTAGAGTCAGTAGCTATAATCTAGTCTGTTTTTCAATCGCTACTGCTAAGTTGTAAAAGGAAGGATTTTACATATGCTGCTGGTTGTTTCTTAGGTGATCCTGCAAGATGTTTTCTTTCTTGATGAGTGTGAGAAGGGATCTCTATGGGACCACAAGGCCCAGAGTGTTGGACAAGCTGTAGTAAAGCTGTGAGGTGCAGGCTGGAACTAAACTTGAATTTGAATTACGTAGCATTTTGGACAGGAAAAACAGTTGGTGAGGCCAATTAAGTATATTCCAGTTGCTTTTCTCATCCATCATTTTTTTCCCCCCATATGAAAAGGAAGTGAAATGCTGTTTAGCTCTTGATTCTGGATGAGATGATCTTGTCCCTCAGCAGAGTCTTGTCTGGTCACACTGCTGCACTGTAAGCAGGTTTTTTTTTAATTCATTTGGGAGGCTGAAAGTGGCTGCCTGGTTGGATATGTTCATTTGTTACATGATGGTCTGGCACACTTTGCTAAAACCACACTGACTTGAGTTGATTTTGCAAATGTACTCCGTGTTAGCTGGAATTAGCCTCCTTCTGTCCTGAGATCAGAACAGGAGGAAGACATTTTACACTTGGTTTGTACCGTTGGTGTCAATGACTGTCCAAGGTGTCAGGTGATGCAGAAACAGACTATGGTGTGCAAGCCTGTTCCTTGTCTGCCCGTCAGAACTACCTACAACATTCTCTTAAAGATGTTGATTCTTTATAATCAATTAGCCTAACCAGGATTATATGAATAAGGCACTCATGGATATGGGTCTGCTTATTCCTGGTAAGTATGTATTTGGCGTGGGGAAAAGGCATGTATTCCTACTGGGCTATTCAAGAACATTGAGCTTGGTAGCTTAATCCCTGCCATAACAGTGTCTCCCTGCAGGAAAACAGGAGAAGAAAACAGAATTATAGTTCTTTTTCTGAAAAAAAAAAAAAACTATCCATGCAGCTCCAAAGATTCTCTGGATGCAAGGAATAAAATTCAGGTCCATTTGTCAGTTGGCAACTGCAAGTCTATTTGGTGATAGTGATTGCCCCAGATTGAAAGAAACTGCAAAAGACAAGGAATTTGCTATTAATTCAATATTTTACAATGCAGCCTGCTGGCATGGATTAGCTGGTTACTTTATGGACTGTGTGATTTCAGGTATGTTATATACAGCCCTCAGTATATAATTTACTAGTCTGAAACCAAGCAGGGCTAAGCATTGAAGGCAATTGTGCTACTGCCTTGTATGTGAAGCCTAAAGTAGGCACTTAAACACCTACGTCAGCTCACTTGTTCTAAACCAGTGGCCAACCTTTTTGGCAGGCATGCCAGAAATTAGCCCAGCACCCTCCCTGAGTGGTGCTTTGATCCCTTTCCTCTTCCCAGTCTGCTGTGCTGCCTTCCATATCCTCATCTTTGTGCTCTGCCTAACCTGCTGCTCTGTTCTCTGCTTCCTGCCCTTGCTCTTGGCTTGTGCCACTTAGGGCAGGAGTGCCGCAGGTTGTCCACCTGTGCTAAAGAGTTTGGGGGAGGAGTGGTGAGCTCAGTATCTACTCCAAAGGGCACTGTGTCTCAGTGATACTCCACACAGTATTAAAGGAAGCCCTGTCCTCCCACACTTCCCTGTGGCAGTGTAATGTAGACATGAAGTGATGCTAGCTAGGCAGAGAAATGGATATAACTGTATGGAATCAGATTTTTCAAAGCCAGCTAATCCCTGAAATGGATAGGAACTGGGTGTCTAAATAACCTAACCATGGTTTGAAAATCCCCCTTAACTTTACTGTAGCTTGCACCCAGCCAAGGGGCCCCTCCACTAAGCACAGAGTTCATAGGAATGGATTTAGCTTAGAGTGAGCAGCACCAGAAGCGAAGTGGGGGACACCTCTGTGGCAGGTGGAGGCATGTGCACTGGATCTGCATCCAGAGTGCTCTGGGAGTGACTTTCCCCTTCCCTGGTGCCTCAGTCCCAATCCCTGCTAATGGAAGTCCCACTCAGTACCTCACTTCATGGATGCCTGATCAGCTGCCAGGTTCCCTCTGCAGTACAGGACACAGTTCCAGCCAGCTGCGGTTGTGTTCTCTGCCTAAATCGCTTTCTGAACCAGCTCCAAGGCTCCGGCTGCTGTTCCAAGTCCCTGTCTTATCATGCTGTGCATCTGTTTGTGATGCAATTCCCACAGGAACAGAGGAGCACGGGGGGAAGGAGGGGAGTGTGTGAGGAGCTTTTCAGGCAGCGTCCACAGTGCATTGATCCCTCTCAGCCCTAAGTACAGTGCAGCACTATAAATCAGTCCCAAATTTACTGTCTTGAGCTGCCTCTGCAGAGGCCAAGTGAGCTTCAGGAGCTGCTTGCCTTCTCCAGAAAGCTCCTGAGAAAACTGTGCGCCATTGTAAGGGTAGAGAGGGCTGTGTGAGGGGTAGGAGCACTCCCTGGCCCAACCTGGTATGTGAGAAGGATGTTACTGTACTGAGGAAGGAGATGGAGCCTGGGACTGGATGAAACCCCTCCTTCCCCTGACCCTGCTGTACTCTCGGTCTCAAGTGTTACTGTGTGCTTAATCCTAAGCGAGGGAGCAGTCTGCACCGGCCGCATTCCCCGGGTCCCTCAAGGGACCGCTAAGGGCCGGATCCTGGAGCGGCCGGGGGTGCTGCTGGGCCACTCAGCGGCAGGGCAGGGGGCCCAGCTCTGGCTGAGGTGGGATCAGGCACCGGGACGATCCCCGTGGGCGGCAGCCCCGCTCCCGGTCTGCTGAGGGGCCGGCAGGGCTGGGGCGGGGGCTCCGCAGCGTGCTCGGACCCCGGGAAGCGGCGGGGTCCCTCTCCCGGCCCCTGGGGCCGCGCCGGGAGGAGCCCAGAGGTCTGCG